TTAATATATAAAAAGAGGTCACCAAACAGTAAACAACAATTTATAGATAATAATTTTGAGGCATTTAAAATAATTCCTTTTCTTTTAGTTACACATACAACTCTACTATAATCATATTTTTTAAGTGTTGAAAATAAATAGAGTAGCAAAAGTTCGACATAGCCACAGGAATGCATTTAACTTGCTTCATATTGACGTTAACTAAAATGAATAATAGGAATTGCTGGGTATTTACTTTGGTAAGCTGTTATGTGTTAAAGTTGTTGTTTTTTGGTTTTTTTGGTTTTTTGTAGACTTTGTGTGTGGTTTGCATTGTATATTTAATAAAACCGTTTGCATTTCTTATGTGTTGCTAAGTGTCAGCGAGCATCTAATTTGATTTATGACCCGCAAAGTTATGCCCCAATAATATCGAAAGATAAAGTTTTTCAGCTTCTTATGCATCAATTTTGCCTCTTCTTCATCTTCATCTTCTTCTTATAGTTGTTGTTTTTGTATGTTGTTGTTGTTGTTGTTTATCTAGGTTAGGTTAACGACAACGATGACTAAGGCCTTTTTAAATATTAAGAGTTGTCATTGTTTTTGCCAAAGTTGCGTGAATACCAATCATAATTTATTCATATGTTCGTGTGTGTGGGTGTAAGTGTGTGTGTGTGTGTGTGTGTGTGGGTGTAAGTGTGTGTGCGTGTGTGTGTGTGTGTGTGTGTGGATGTGTGTGCGTGTGTAATATATATATCATGACACATCCATGTACACACAATTTGTTTTAGCTAGCGGTTGAGGCAGGTGGAGCACCCATATCCTGTTCCTTTTTCTATCTCACTTTCTCTCTGTCTCTCCTCCTCCTCTCTCTCTCTCTCTCTCTCCCTCTGTCTCTCTCTCTCTTTTCTCACCCTCCCCGCACTCACCAAGTTGTGCAGTGAGGCAGCAAATATTCATCGGATTGAAACCAATTGGTTGCCTTGACGAGCTAGTGAGGCTGGCTAGAAATTTGTCAAGCATAATACCTGATAATCAATTGACTAACAGCACAATGCTGAATAATGAATTCTTGTCACTAGCCCTATATACATACATATATATGTACATCGACTGGGTCTCGGCTGACTATCAATCAAATTGGTTGCATCGTTACCGCTTGCTAATTAGCAAATTAAAAATGTTACAAGGTTTTTTTGTTGTTGTTCGTATTTTTGCCACGTATTTAAAATGTTGATTTTGCTGCAGCACGAAAAACTCATTAGTAATTAAATATTTTCCGAAACGACAACGCCCCGTAGTTTCTTAGCCCGTGGTGTTGCTCTTGTTGTTGCTGGTGCCATTGCTAATGTTGTCGTCGTTGTTGTTGGTGTTGCTGTCGTCGTGTTCGCACAGTCAGAACTTCCGTTCTGGCATCCACTCCTTGCTGCTGCTGCTCTTGCTGCTGCTGCTGCTGACACACACAGCGTATACGCAATTTTTTGGGGTTGTGCGTATTAAGATCGTAAACAAGTCTACAGGCTGCTCAGGCTTCGGCTCCAACAGAGCTGCGCCTGGACTGGCTGTAGCTGTAGCCCTGAGCATGATTTGTTACTGACAGCGTCTCAGGCAGCAGCACCAGTACTAGTACACTGAGAGAATCAAATTTCAAAAACTATTGCTAGATTCAAGCACAAGATTTTTATGACCGCAGCAGCTGCTGCTTGACTACATACATATATATTTAATATAAATATAGTATAATAATTTCATATTGTAGAAACTTTGTTATTTAAACTTTGCAGCACATCCTTTGATTTTCGTCTTTTTTCCAATGTTTTGCATAATTTATTTAAATAGGTTTGCTTTACTACGTACTTATTACTTATCTGTGTCGTAAAACGTTTTTGAAATGGTCTGTGCTACATAAGAGTTACTTGTTGTGTTCGCTCAGTGTAAGAGAGACAAGACCAGGGTTTTGGGGCCCTGCTAGCGATGTTGAGGATGAGTTTGATTTATTTCACGCTGTACAATTTATGAGTGAAGGTGAAGCAGCTACAACGACAACACCAACAATAACACCCAGTAGCAATAGCTCTTACTGTTGGCACTTGCAATTCATTGAGCCAAGGCCCAATGGGTTATATTTATACATGTACGTATATATCTATATAAAATATGTATGTTACTTAAGGCTTGTCAGCGTTCGTGGCGAAGATACGTAAAATATTCCCCAAAGATTTCAAATGCCCGAGGCCCAGGACCAAGGGCCAACAACAGCAACAGCAATAACAACAACAACAGTAACCACAACAACAACTGTTGGGCATATCTTGAACGTGCGCTTGACTGACTATTATGATGGATGTGGTTGCTCTTAAAGTTATGAAAGCCATTTGGTTTACTGTGCCATTAGTACCGGCTCCTGGCTCGTGGCTCCTGGCTGCTTTCATTTCAATTATTATTGGGCTCATGCAAAACACCATTTGAATTTCATCTAAATGCTGCGTAAGTGTTGCCCACTCTGCGCAGTTGCAACTTTAAGCAGCCCTCTTAAGCGTTTGTACTTATTTCCCCCCCTGCACTCTTTGCCATTGTGTTGTCGACTTGGCGGCGGCGTCTCGTTGCAACTGTGCTTGCAACGAGGAGCAAATTCTTGACTTTGGTATTTGAAATTACAGCACAATACACAGGCACATTTTGCGGCTACTTCGCGCTGCAAAGTGAAAACAGATTAAAATTGTAATTTAGATTTTCTTTGCTGTGTTTTCTCACTTGACCCTTTTTTCTGCTGCTCTTAATATATATACCAAGTTAACTTACCCATTTCAAATCAATTGTAGAGCGTTATTTAATTCAGCTGATGTTTTAAAGAACTATATTCACACTTATGGAAATTCAAGTAAAGATTTAGCCTGCAAATATTAAGTCTCTTTATTTTTCATTTTGTTTATAACTCTCCCTTTCTGTAATTTAAAATAAATTATACAATTTGATCACACTGTAAGGATAATTTAATAACTTAAGTGTGACACAAAAAGGAATAAATTTAATCGGCACTGAACTTAAATGAAAAGCACGCTGTGTGCTTATTGTTGTAAGAATTCACCTCAATGAAATTAATTGATGCAATTACTTGAGGGTGTTAATAAAGCGAACTCTATAGGTATAATTAATTAAAGCGATAACACAGCTGCAGTTTTGTCTGCCAACATAAAAGTTTAAAACAAGCACATCAAAGAAGTTAAGAAAAAAAACAGAATTTGCTTTTGCATTTAGCTTTCCGAAGCTTAAATGGAATTGTGACAATAGTGGATACCACAGCTACAGAGCGCAGAAAGAATATAAAGCGAGAGAGAAAGAGAGAGAAATATAGATTAAGAAAGAGAAAGAGTAATAGAAAGGGACTGCGGTTCTACGAGAAGCTTCGATTCGCACTTAACTAATTACCAAGGTGAGAAAAACGGGTTTGTTTGAAAAACATGTCAAATTCATAGAAGATATGAGACCGATTTTTTCGAATATATTTTCTTTTTAAATTGCAATTTTTTAATATTGAGTGAACGCTTGAAAGTTAAATACAAATTGATTATATATGACTGCATCAACGTTAAGCGGAAGCAAAAGGGAAACAAAGCAAAGAAAGTTTGTGCAGCATTTTATGAGGATGTTGCTGCTGCTGTTGCTGCTGCTGTTGCTGCTGCTGCTGCTACTGCTGCTGTTGTTGCTGTTGCTGCTGCTGTTGTTGCTGCTGCTGTTGTTGCTGCTGCTGCTGTTGTCGGTGAGTTTGTATTTTTCTTTCTTTTGCATTTTACGTTTATTATGTATATGCATTCATGGTTAACACACACACACACACAAGCGCAAATGCATAATAAGCTCGTTTTTATGTGATGGCACATTCTGAATATCACTTATATGCAATTTTTCTTGGTATATTTCCACCCTCTACAATTGGGTTAAAGGAAAATAATGCAGTTGGGAAATTTTTCAATTAATTAATTAAAACGCTTACGCATGCGGGCTTAAATATCCAACTAATTAATAAAATTAATTACATTGAATTCATGTTCGTTGTTTAGCCATATTAAGTAGGATTCATTTCATTCCAACACGCACAACACACACATTGAGTTAAACTTAAGAGATCGGGCAATAAAATTGAATTTAATATTGAAATAATAATGGAAGAAAATTCTATCAATTCTTCTCAACTTCCCTCTGCACTAAATAAATATAATAATCAGCGACAAGGGGAGTTATTAAGATTTTTAAATACCTACAAAAATATTTAAAAATCGAATAACGAAAATATTTTCTCCAAGAAATTTAATTAATTTAAGGAAATTGAAATGAAAATGAAACTTTTAGTTGTCAAGTCTGCTCACAATTGTTTTTCACCACATATTCGAAATAAATTTAAAAAGTTAAGGAAATATATATAAAGTAAATACATAATTATATATGTATTTATATTTCTATTTGTACATATGTATATATATATATATTAACACATATATAATTATATATTTACTATTCTTTTTTCAAGTAACTAACGCAGTTCAAAAGCCTTTTAAGATCTATACCATAGAAGTTCTCAATTCTCGAAAGTTTCTATTTATTCAGTAGATTAAGAAATATATAATTTAAAAAATTATAATAATGTTAAGTCTTGCAGTGGAATTATGTTAATTACCAAATTGTTGTCAAATCCGCACTCGAGGCTTTTCCACAATGGCCATTAAATTACCCCTCATATATACAGGTGCACAGAGTCCTTTATCGTTCTTCAATTACCACAAGAGCGAGCCCCAAACTCCAATTAAGCCGCTTAATCGCAGCCATAAAGTGCACGGGTAATCTACGGCGGAAAGTCAGAGGCGTAAATGCTGTTCAATTGCTCGGGATTGGGTGTGGCATCTGCTTGGCGGTGGTGGTGGTGGGGGACTTTGGGGGATGGATTTCGCATTTCGGTTCATATATTCATATATTCATATTGTCATTAATCATTTGGTTTTTTTTTTTTTTTTTTATGTTGAGTTTTTTAATTTTAATTTTGCACCCACTTGCACAATTTATCATAATTAATCTAGATGACAGATAGTAGCTATATCTATGCATGTGTACACCTCGATTTTAAGTATTTGGCGAGATACATACATGCGGCAACATTATAATTTGCTTAATGTTCTTGTTAATTAAGATTAAACATTTATTTACAGTATTTTCGATTTTATGTTTGCAGTTTCGTTTCACTTTTGCTTATTGCTACACAACTGGTCGATTAATCGATTGCTCGATTAATCGATTCATCGATTGCTCGTTCTATCAATGTTGGTTTTCCTTCTTATTCTATATGCTTTTAAATGACTCGCTTTATGCGATGCGCCTATTCACATTTATTAATTACGTATAAAAATACTTAAAGCTGCCTATAACAAAACCCAATTTGATTTACATATATACAGGTGCGTCAATTGCCTTTCCTCACTCTCCGCTTTCCGCTTTCCTTGGTGTGGGCGTGGCAGCAGCCCCTTCGACCAGTGCTGTAGAGTAATGCTGTAAAGTAGGTAATAATATCAATTGCAAACTCCCTCAAGACATGCCACAGGCAAGCACAAGAACATCAACTTACCCCAGAGTTCGCAACACACCCATGCACAGAACCACACACAGATACGGAGAGAACGCAAATCAGACATGAAACATAAGTTACGGCTCAGCTTAGGCCAGTGCGTGGAGCAGGAGGAGCTGATGGTGTGGCTGGTGATGGTGATGGCGATGCCGCTGTGCCACATGCAGTAGCGTGAGCAGGCCAAGTAACAACCACAGGCTGGGTAGCTCCAATCTCACGCCAAGCTCATGCTGCATGGCCGCGTGCTGTTCGCTTTTAATGATATGCACAAACACGCTGTCGGAGTCTGCAAAGCGAGGTATACATATATATACATATAAATATATATAAATATGTATATAGTAAACATTGAGAAGAGGAAATAGTGTGTGTAAGTGGGCGTGTGTGTCTGAAGAAGGTGGCGCAACCTAGATGTGTGTGTGTATATGTGTGTGTGTGGCACTCACTTGAGTTATCCGCGGAGCATGTGTAATTTCCAGAATCTGTGTGCAGGACACGCGATATCACCAAATTGCTGGTCTTCATCTGTTGTTCGGAGATGACCCGTATTCCGCCGCGAGTCGAATCACTCATCAGTTCGGTGTCCTTGTACCAGAGCATGTGAGTATATGGTCCCGGCGCCTGGGGTGCTATGCATGTCAGATTGATGTCGCTGCCGCTCTGGATGAACAGTTCGCGATTGGCAAGGATTTGCGCCTTGGATGCTACGAAAAGAACGCAAAGTGCCTGTGTCAATTGAGACTGTTGAAAGCAACGTGTCATTAAGACAAAACTCATTAGCTTCGCTTTCCACACCTTTCGCTTTTGCTTTTGCTTTTGCTTTTGCTTTTCCATTTCACTTACACCTGCAGCTGCACGGCTCGTTAAACTAATGCCACTCCCACTGCCCTCCACTGCCCCCCATAGTCCGCTGTCCGATTTAGCTTAGCAGTTGTGCGTAAATTGCTGCACATAATCCCATTTTAAATGTAAAACTTTCACTTTTTCCAAGTAATAAATGCTAGTTTATCTTGCCAAATAAGTTTCACGATGATGGAATTTTAAAAATCGTTACTAAATCTGAGCTAAGCTGCAGCTTTCATCAAACCTTGGTAATAACTAAACTATTACAACGTTATAAACGAATTACAATTTTGTTTTATTCTATTTATGTATCTTTTTCTTTATCTGTTTTCTTTTTCAATTTGAGATTTTAGCATTTGTGCATTTTGACCCAGTTCGGCTTCATGAATTTCTGTACTTTTCCTCTCTTGATTTCGACATTTTATTTTATTTTTTTTACTCTTTCTTAGTTGTATTTCTTCCGGAACTTCTTGTGTTTTCTTGTGCTAATTGCACAATTAGTTCTATCATGTATATCTCATTATCACTATCTTTGCTTAACATGATTTTATTCCCTCATCCGTTTGCCTTTATCACCAGTTAATTAATTTTTTATTTAACTCTGCCTGCTTAAACTATAGCTATTGAGCTATAAGCAAGTTATTTGAGACTTTAAGATGTCTTCCATCAAAATTAATAAGATGTTTTCAATTATTTTGCAAGAGCAATGCAATATTGTGAACAAATTGCAACTAATGTAAATAATAATAATAATAATAATTATAATACTTTAAGACTTTAAGATGTCTTCCATCAAAATTAATAAGATGTCTTCAATTATTTTGCAAGAGCAATGCAATATTGTGAACAAATTGCAACTATTGTAAATAATAATAATAATAATAATTATAATAATCATAATTTGGTGATACATAAATACACACACGATAAAAATATGAAAGTAACTTAAATTGAAGGAATATATATTACATATCTTATATTAAAAATAATATGGAATAAAAATATAAAAAAATAAATATATAAATAAATAAAAATGAATCATCTTTTCGATTTTGTTATAACAATGCTGCTCGCAATACTTACTGACAACCATCAGCTTGTAGGCAAGGCTGATTTTCGGCTCCGTGGAGACTTGGCACTCGTAGATGCCAGCATCGCGGGGCTGCACCGAGACGACCTTGAGCACCCACTCGTCAGAGTTGTCGATGTGGCGGGCCAGAAAGCGCTGATCATTGGTGTAGGTCATGATGCCAATTGTGAGTATGTGTAAGTCACGCTGCCTAATCCAGGACACTGCCCGATCCCCCAGATTGCGGACGCGGCAATGCATGCGAGCTGTGGTCCCCAGGGCGGCGATTATATCACGCTCTGTGCTGTTATCGAAATGTGGATCGTACTCCTCGGGTATTAGATTAGAAAGCTCCGTGGCCAGCGCTGCGGGAGAGTCGAGTAGAGTAGAGTAAGAGTAATGAAATGGATGATGGTTGCACAGGGATACTGTCAATAAACGCTTGTCAAGTGTAGTGGTTAGAAACTACAAGGGTTTTGCCCACAAAAACACACACGCACACGCAGACACACAATGCGAGACTTGCCGCACTCAATCATGTGCACTCAAACACGCGTAACAACAAAACCAACAGAAACAACAACAGCAACAACAACAATCAGTTGAAGAGGGTATTAAATAACTGTATCTAAATGTCAATCTAAATGTATTCATGGTGCATTTATATGCGAAATCAACGTAGACGTTTCCATCGGCATCAGATGGAAAGGAAAACACTTGACCCCATGTTGCAGAAGACAGCTCGGCAAATGGATATGAATGGACAACGAATGAGCGAGTGTACTGAGTGGCCAGACAGTGGCACCCAACGAACGAACAACGAATCAACATTCATTTGATTAACGAGTATTTGTGCTTAATTTATGCCAAAGTTTGCCATCTTATTGGCAGACACACTTCACTACAATATATGCATATATGTATATGTAAGACGGGTTTCTATGTGTATGTGTATGTGTATGTGTATGTGCATGTGTATGTGCATGTGTATGTGTGTGTGTGTGTGTATATTGAGCTAGAGCTAACACCCATTCGCATTATGATCCATCATTGGTTTTGGCCCGCACTTGAGGCAAGTGATTTATGTGGAGCCCTGCAGACGCTTTATCAACATCATGTATTAGCCAACTAATGCGCTAATAATCCACGAGTGCCTAAGCAAATACACAAATATACAAACAGCTACAAGTACAACAAAAGCATGCATTATACACCCACAAATATGTGCTTATACATATATTGATTTATAGGGCCAACCATTAGCCCATGTGGCTATCAAATATCGAGCAATAAAATGCCGCTAAACACTTAATTGAAACTGTTGCTGCCACACTCAATCGAGCCGCACCTCCGCGGCACGAGTGCCCTGCAAACATTTTACAAATGAAATTGCTTTTTGTTCTGCACAATAAAAAAAAAACATGCATATTACCACACACACACACACACACACACACACACGTACATAAAATAAAAATAAAAAAATAAAATTTTTTTAATAAAACTTTTGTATTTACATACAAAGTGAGCTTTGCCGGTAAAAAGTAACCAGAGCCATTTTGTTTTGGATCTCAAATTGTTGAGTTTAACCGCAGCAACAAGCTCCACACACATACACTACCCATGCCACGCCCCCTACCCACGCCCCATGTGCCATGCCCCATGTGAACACTAAAACGGAGGCCAGGTGCCATAAATAATAAATGAGAAATTGCAGTTGTTTTTGTAAATATAATTCCAAATGGCCATGTAAATGAACACACAACACGAGCATTCTCATTTTTTTTTTTCTTTTTTACATAAAGTTACAGAAACACCAAACAATTGGTAAAAGTCACAACTATTTAGTTGGAAGTTATTTCGTGTTTATTTGTTCAACATTCATTTAGTAAATATTCAACTTGTATTCAACTTGAGCCGCAGGGATTTGGGGTTACCTGATGGCTTACAAGCCTCGGCAATCGATGGATGAGATGAACCGAGCCAAAAGGATTTGGATCCAATTAGCGATCCGCTTAGGCTCAATTTTGGATTGCTCAAGTGAACTGAACTAGTTCCGGTTCCGGTGCAAAACATTGAGTTGCATTAGAGTTCGATAATGATTGATTAGTTAAGTTAGTTGCGGTATCTAAACATTAATTAGCTTGAGTCTTATTCCATTGACAAAGCAATTAGACAATTAAGTCTGATCGTGTTATTATCTAAATGTAACAAAATATTTACAAGCTGAATTTCGCTTAAGGGCTTAATGAATAAAGTGTCAAATTCTTGATGAAAATATAAAATTATTTGAAGACTGCCCTTTTAATATTAACATTGTTTTCTCTATATAACTTTAATGCTAATGTTTAATTGAAACTACTTCCACAACTTCCTGCCTGAGTTGTTATTGTTGAAAGATCGTGACACCTGAGTTGCATGTGAGTTGTTGTCATGTTGTCTGCGGTTAAATATTTTACGGTGATTAAGGGTCAAAGTCCTGTAAATTCCCAATTTGTAATTCATTTCTCAATTTGTCTTGACATAACTTGTCTCGTTAGCTGTTAGGCGTAATGATAATGATATTATTTCAGAATTTTATATTCTTTGTAAATTTCTTATCATATTTTTTTTGGCTCTGGCATTTTCGTCTGCTTTTCAAATTGAGAAAACCAATTAACCTTTGATGAACTTGAATGCGTTCTTCAATTGAAAAGTAATTTGCTTAATCGAACTTTGAAGTCGTATTGATTGAATTTCAGTTGATATTTGTTTTCTGAGTACTTACCAAAGTGTTGCATGCGTCTTGTGATGCTTGTGCTTGTGTGCTTATCGAATGTTGTGGTTAATCCCATGATCACAAGCATCGCCATAAAGTATTCCAACAACATTTCATGCGCAATTTGTGATGCTATTAAATTATAACTGCAACCAAAGACGACAACAGCAAAAAGTAATTAAAATAAATGATGGCAATCGCAAAACTCGAGACAAAGACACTTCCAACGACTTAAATGAGTCAACGCCATATTGTTTTGCCAACCGCCATACTCAATTTATAAGTATTATGAGCCAGCCGCAGGATGCCCGGAAATAGATAGAGAGAGAGAGAGAGAGAGAGAGAGGGGGGGAAAGAGAGCGGTTCGGGGCAAATAACCAGCGGAAGGGATTAGATTTTGAGTCCTAACTCTTAAGTCTTATCGAAGGCGGAGACGGAGACGGAGGCGAAGATGAGGACGGGCGCACATTCATTTGAAATGATGACAAGTCCGCAATGCGGTTGAGTTTTCAATCACCATGACGGCCGCAGGACATGCGGTAAACGTGGTGAGGGGATTGCCAAACTTGAGCAATTTCTTCATTACGCACTAAGCTGTTGAAAAATTGCTGGTCTCGGGTGTGGAATGTGGGCGGCTCGCCGGTGTAAACGTGGTTGAGCAAATTGGATGTACCATTTACTTTTTGGCCAGTGGCTATAATTTGGGTCTGGTCACGTTTTACTAATACACTTAATTGTACTCAAACCCATATAAATGTATGTATATATAGCGTACATATATATGTATATGTATATATATGTATATATATATATATATATTGGTATTCGTTAACTGCATCCGCTGTGGTATTCGAATTTCGCGGCTACCTTTTGTGGACTAGAGCAATTTGTGGCTGATGCGTTTGGATTCAATGTAGCGCGAATTGCGTGCCGCCATTTCATGCGCCACGTAACGCATTCGGGCGCGTTGCTTTCAAACGTTTTTCGTTTTACGTTTCGCGTTTCACGTAATTCCTTTTGCTGCTGCTGCTGTTGTTGTTGTATTTTTTTCTTATCTCTTTTCTAAATAATTTTACGTCAATGCCTTTTACGCGACGCAAGGCGACGCGTTACGTTTACGCAAATTAAAGCACTCGGCAAATGTAACGGACGAAAAGCACACGAGGCGTGAGTCGTGTCGCTCGTGTCATTCGAGGCGAATCACAGTGAGTCACCGACGGCGTCACGTATGAATGCGTATTGCGCACGACTGCGTTGTGTGTGGCTTGAGGCGCGCTAAACAACTGAAACAGAAGTGAAGAAACTAACCTAGTCTCTGTGTGTTGCCGATGACCGCGCGACAACAACAACAGTACAGAAAGAGTGGTATATGCAAATGTTTGGCTCTGGCGCAGGCGCAGGCGCCCTGCTCCAGCAACATGTTGCGGCAACATTTATTGAAAGCGTAATTTAATTGTAACAAATACCCTTAGTTGGGCCCTGCTTGCATTGGGTTGGGTTGGGTTTGGTTTGGGATGGGTATGATATATGGGTATATTTGTTGTGTATGTTGCCTTTGTAAATGTCGCTGATGAAATTTCATGCGTATTGCTTTAGAATTGCTTATGAAATATTTAACAAGGCATTCAACGTAATGTCAAAGACACTTACCAAATGTCGTTAGATTTGTGTCACGCAACAGCAACAACAACGGCGCCCAAGAGCAACAATCGGAGCAGAAACAGGAAAAACATTAATAAAAAAAAAGGCAACAAACGAAAAAAAAAAGCCTCATGCATGACAAGGCCCGTTTTACAAGTTTTGTGTCAGTGCGTTTCTCAATTGAAAGCGGGAAATTGAGACACCCAGATACAACGATACTCGCACCTCTCCACTCCCACACGTACACTCACACACACACTCACACACGCACACTCAGTCACTCACACACTCACTCACTCACTCACACGCTTGCACACACATACCCGGTGACCCATTATGTTGGAGCGGAAGCGGATATGAAGCTTGGCAGTGTTGCTGCTGCTCCTGTTGTCGCAGTTGTGTGTCTGCTTTCAGCTAGCAGCTACCAGCGACTTATCAAAATCGATGAGGCAACATATGGTCGATTTTAATTTTCTAGCACACAGACAACGACAATAACAACGCACACATACACACCCATACACACCCAAACACGCCCACACCGACGTGTGTTGCCCCGCAATGCAAATTCGTTTAACATATTTTCTTTAGAAATTGAATTTCCAAAGTTATTATAAATATTTTTTAGATAAATGCAATTTGAATGGAATGCTCAAAATTTTACCTAAGCTCGTCTTTTGCCTTCTAAGGGCAACGTTATTTCGTTGTCTTAGCTTCAGTTGAATTAAATCGAGAAAAACAAATCATCCAATAGCCAAAAACTGTTGCCCAGCTGGCTCTCGGAAGCATACTTATGCTGTCACACGCCACCCGCCATCTATTATTTTACACTAACAAGACTTAAACATTCCTCAAGTTAAGCGGCGACATTTTCCCATGTCTTCCCAATCCCTAACAGAACTCCTCCCAGTCCCCACGGTCCTCTCGCAACACATCGCTCAATGCTCCAAGTGAATTCTTATGCACAAAAGTGGGTAGCTCTACTTGTTATGGCCACTGCTTCAAGTGGATCACATTTTTGTACACAATTTAAGATATTTCACAAATCTTACGAAATATTTTTATTGTTTATCATGATAAAAAAAACTTGTGTATTTCACAATTCAATTTAAAACGTTTTCAATTATATAATTTAATTGAATCGTTGCAAAACTATTTTCGTAAATGCATTACACTATTAAATTAATTATCAAAAAATAATTAATCTTTTATTATTACACTATTAAATTAATTATCAAAAAATAAATAATCTTTTATTATCACACTTTTAAAGTAATTATCCAAAAAAAAAAACTTTAATATATAGTTATTATTTCATTATTAAATTGCAACAATGAAAATCTCTTAACACGGTTTTATTAATTTGTGCATTTTTTTTCAAAGTAGAGCACTTACAAATTGTTTGCATTTGATATAATTACTATTTTATTATTGTTTGGTAGAAGCAAGTAAGCAAACAAGCTGGGCATATGGAGTTGTAATTTTCAATTGACTGTCTCCCTTCCAGAAGCCAGGCCGGACTGGCATGGCATAAGCCCCATTAATATGTATGGTATTAAATGAGCAAAGCTTTAAATGGCCAATTGGTTTGTCTGCATGTAATATATTACTTTTTTTTATTGGTCTTTCAACTTAAAAGACCTATCAAGGTATTAAAAAAAAACAAAATAAATAAAAAAAATAAACAAAATTATTTATTAGCATGACAGTTATAAATTTTGTTAGATTTTCAGTTAGGAAGGACGCGTCAGAGCAAAAAAAGAAAAACAATTTAAAACTGAGGGGCGCTCCTAAATTTGATACAACCATAAATATTCTTTATTCGTTTCAGCTAACAGGTCTCGGTGAACATTCGTTTTGTCCAATATTATATATCTTGTGTTGCTCATCGAAATAGTAAATAAATTCAGTCAAAAATATTTCTGCTGAAGTTGTAGATTGCAATAAGATATTAAATTATAATAAGAATTTATGTGTGGCAGGCGTTTAGGAGAGGAGGAAACAGTCCTTGGCACATATAACTGACCTATTTAAGCTCAGTTAAATTTTGATAACCTGTCTAAACCCTTAAAGTTTATTTGGCTCTACTTGTCATATGGGGAACGTGTTAAACAACCCTTGGAGGCGTCACTTCATTTGTTATTGTTACTGAGAGGCTTCGCGTTGCGTTACGTCTTCGATTTGGACATTGATTGCATACCGAATTGATGGAAATGCCGACACGCTGTGCCTCCAAGGGAGCGCGATATGTGAACATATTGTTATCCCTACGGGTAGCTCGTCCACCGGGAAATTGAATGCGGGGCGTGTGTAAAATTGATAACTTTGTTTGTGTAAACAGCGTCGCGACATTGAACGTATCTACGCAACCAACGTCGCACCTCGCACCTCAACCTCGACAACACATCATCCTTCAACCCGCAACTCCCCCGCCAACTCCCAGCCTCAATCTATGAACCGACAAATTTCACTCGACATGATGTATGTGTGCGTTACGTGTGCGTGTTTATCGCGCATACGTAGCGTTGGCTACACACACACACACACGCACACACACACACACACGTATATATGTAGAGAGCATAGCAAAAAAAATTCACATGCGAATTATCGGTGTCAATTTTTATGCTGCTACGTGTGCGAAATTCAGCAGAGCAGCTGATGATGAGTGGACGAGCTGAAAAACGCACGCTCCGTCGTTACCTTTAGACAAAGACTGCAATGGCAGCAACAAAAACAAAAAGCAACCACAACAACAACAACAACAACAACAAAAACAGTAACAGTAACAAGAACAACATCGAAATAGAACATAAAACGATGTCGCCCAATTTGGCATTACATTCTGGTCCATTGTTGTCGACATTGAGTCGATAACGAAACGAATCCCAAGCAGCTGAAAGCAAAGCGCATGGTAAGAAAAACCCAACAACAACAGCAACGAGGAATAACAAAACTAGAGTCGAAAGCGACACTGTGCCCCAAGTGGTGGCCAAAAGTCAAAAGGAAGGAACGGGAAACACAGGAGCTATTGGTTTGTTTCGTGCTACCAAAGCACCGAGCCAGGAGTCAGAAGTGCGCTTTAAGCTTTGCTCAACTGTTCATCAGAATTACAAATTGTATTCGATTTCCGGTATTTGTGACGCTTGAATTAACAATCGATTGTTTTCTCGACTTCTCTTCTCTTCTTTTATTTTTATTTTTTTTTTGGACGTCTGCCACAACTATTCACGCCCCCTCCAAAGCTTTTGCGATTTTAATGCCATATAAAGTTTTATGCATATTGTGCAATTGTTGTTGTTATTCTTGATTTGTGCGTTAGTTTTACAAGAAGAGACAGCAAATTCCTGGCCACGAACCATTTGAGTCGCTTTTGTCAAAAAAAAATAAATAAACGCTTGATTCGATTAGACCGATTGATTTGTATTAACATAGGAAACGCATTGATTTCGCTCACTTGAGCACACACAATACAACAAAAAGGCGAAAACATATCCCAAAAATAACCTGATTCAATAGTTCTTTGAGCTCAACCCATTTTTTCCTCTTTCTTTTATAGTGTTCAACCTTCAAATATCTCGGGGGCAAATAACAAAATCATTTAAATCAAAATTGAAAACAATTTCAAGGCTCACATCTGCAAAATATCATTTTGGCAGAGAAACGCATAGAGAGAGAGAGAGAGAGAGAGAGAGAGAGATAGAGAGAGAGTGGAAGAGAGAGGGACAGAGAAGTGGAGACAGCGATTTCATATAATTTGAGCTTTATATTATAAATTAATGTTAATTTAATTAGCCTTGTTTTGTAATCAATCCGCTTAATAGATTTATATTTAATTACATTTTTTTAATGGTCATCAATAATCATTTTTGTTTTAGTCAACAATTATTCCGCACTGAAATATTATATAGGATCGTGCTTGCTTTTGCAATTTATTTATGGCATTAAATTGGTACATTTGTTTCTCTCACAATATGTTGTTATGCAAATTAAAGACGTTGACGACTATTGCAAAACATTTTTGATTGAAGTAGAATCTTTTAAGACGTTGCACAAAACAACACAAAAATAGACAATAATTTTTCTGATATCAAAATTGACCACAACCTAACAGCAAACTTTTAGTTTGGAATTCGAATTTGGTTATGATTTGATCTGTGATTTGGCAACTATTTTTACAGACTTACATAGCTCTTAAATTGTCAACTATTTTATGCATAATATATTAATAATTATACATTTTATATATGTATAATGTTAGTTTGGGATTTATAGTCGACAACTTAATTAACATATTATTATTATTTATAAGTTTAATATAGGATATATTCTAGTCGAGTACTCAATATATACTGAATAATAAATACAGTCATAAACCTAATTGAATAGAAACATTTTGTAAATTAATCAGCTGGAGTGAAATTATTGAAATTGTTTTAATCCAATGATGCCAAATCAAATTGATAAAATTAAAGAGCAAAATGGTAATTAGATGTTTTAATCGAATGAAGCTTTGCTCATTTAAAATTGGAATTTGTCACTTAAGTATTATATGCAATTTGTAGTTAAATTTAATTATGCTCTTAGTAAATACAGCT